GATAGGCAGCAGCGGGGACGGTAAGACTAGAGATGGTCGGGAGAAAAACACCAGAGCGACAGATCGGACAGTAATGAACTTGGGAGCACAAAACAGATTCGAGAAGCTGGATGAAGCGTGGGCAGCACCAATAGTGGACGAAGCTGTCGGGGCCGCCGCAGCCCAGCAGACAGCACAAGGGCACACTGTCGTGAAACCGCACGGCTGTGATCCAACTACCAGATAGAGTCTTCCATATCGCATTCACTAAAGGGCCTCTCATTCGAATGAGAAGCTCGCGGACCTCTTCCCATTTCACGTGCACCAGGACCTCCGCGGCCTCAGGGAACCAACGGGCCCAACGCTCCGAGAAAACAACGTCCAGGGAATCGGGGAAGAGTTCTCGTTGGAAAATCTTCAGCAGTCTACCTTGCATCTTCACATTCTTAGGGGGGCGAGAGAGGGCGGAGGCAGAGGTCAGGAGCTCCAGCGCAGCCTCACGGGCGATCGATCCAGCCCGAGCCAGGTCCCGAGAGCGGGAGAAGCCACCGGCCGCATCCGAGAGATGCTCCACAAACGCTGGTGACTGCCAGAAGCGCGGGGACAGTTTCCCTGCCGAGAGATCAACGATCTCAAGATGGCGAGAAGCAAACTCAGACAGCTGTTCCAAGAGCATTCGATATTCAGGGAACGTGTTGACAGCTGCTCTCATAAGAGTGGCACAACTCAAGGACCTCACGCTCGTGAGTTGCGGTCCTCCCCACAGGTGAAGCGAGAACCAGCCACTCCGAGGAAGCGTGCAATGGGGGACTTTGAAGAGAGAGGCGAAGGAGGCATGCTCAATACGAGAGAGAGGGGCAGGAAGGGCAGGGCAAAGCTCAGGGATGGGACAGAATTGGGCGACATAGGTAAGGGTTGAGACGGCACGGCTAGAGTACATATACTCTGTGATGGCCGGCGGCGCGCCGACTTTGGCAATCTGCACTGTACGTCCTGCCCATTTCAAAAGAGGCTTGTGCCAGCTCTCAGTGGTCACACTGGGCCCAAGAATCATGCCAAGATAGGTCAGGGAACTCACAACCTGGAACGCTCCCCAGTCGGGGAGAAAGTTCTGAAGCCAGAATCGATACTTGGCGACGAGGGTGGCCGAGAAGGGGCCCGCAAGAGGAACCAGGAAACACTTGGCATACTTGAGCTTGAGACAAGCGAGGGCCTCACTGCAGTCGAATACGGCCTTCAGCTGAAGTAGATCACGAAGCGCTGAAACCACAGATCCAATATCATCAGCACAAGCCCTGGCCATACTCATCTGGCGTTCTCGAGCTCGACCTATGAGATCTTCTCGCAGCTCGCCAGGTGGCACATCATTCTGAGCTTCCAGCCGCTTCCACATATCCACGAGAAAGGGGTGGCTCCCGACGGCGAAAAGGGCGCCAGACCCTGGGCATCCTTGAATGATCCCCGACATGATGTAAAACAAGAAACAGCATACTCTGCCGAAAGTACCAAAGCAGCGAACGTTCGTATACAACGTCTCTACGAAGATCTGCATGGGCAGCGGCACATGGAAGGCAGCAAGCGTCATCATGATCCATCGGTGCGCGACCGACGGGAAGGCCTGTCCGTAATCGAAAGATATCAAGGCTGGAAGCCGAGCAGCGGCATCGGGGAGCATCGAAACCATTCGGGCTCGCACGTCGAGCTCGAGGATATTTAGACCAAAATTCCTCCCTCCGACGAATCCCCTTTGAGAATAGTGGACTTTATCACCCAGTCGACGTGATAAACTCTCGAAAACGACGCCCGTGACCAGCTTGTTCGACGATTGTTTTAGTCCTAGAGGCCGGGTAGCTTCAGCGTTCCGAACGATCATATGGGAATCCTGCTCCTCATCTCCTTTGGCTATGAATACTCCTCGAACATCATTGAAGGCTGGTAACATGCTCCTCCCACTTAATAACCACCAAACCACCTCATCTAGAATGTTAAGACCGTGTGGATGTCGTTTCCATGCTCGATAGGGGAGGCCATCCAACCCTGGGGAACTATCTTCCGCACGTTCGATACGCCGTTGAAGAGCATGCAGGGATGGAGGGGGAAGGTCAGAAAGATCAATACCATCACAATGCTGACGAAGATAAGATTGGGCAGCTGGAACATTGATGGATTTTTCTGCAAACACGGGTCGCCAATGTTCCCCAAGCTCTTGGAGGACAGCAGCTGGTGACGAGACAACCGACTCCCCATCGGAGGCTCGTACTCCTTGCAGGGTCATTCTGCGATCAAAAGGCGTCCAGAGGCGGCCCCTGCGATGCGTGCACTTAAGCCGTCGCCTGGCTTTCGCTCTGGCGGGCTCTGCACTGGCATTCGCAATGTCTTGTTTGTATTTAGCTTCTCGTTGTTTGGCAATAGTGAGGTGAATCTCATTGGCTCGCCTCTGGAACTCTGGCGGGTCAATCAACTCCACTGTCCCCTCCAGCAGGTTGATCTGTAGAAACTCCTTACCTGGAGCGTGAGATCGCCAAACACGGTGCGCTAGACGCACATCCTGCCTCCAGAGGCATCTCCCGATACTTTTGATGACCAGGAGCTGGGTAAAACTCGATGATGGTGATTTTCGAATCAAGGAGTCCCGAGCGATCTTGGCGGCCTCACGCATCATCTCAGTCTGAAACGCTAGCCTCAAGGGTGGTGTCATCCTGCTCTGGTCACACTCAGCCTCTACCGCTTCCAGGAACCGAACGTAGTCAGGATGTTCGCAGACTTCGGGGGCAACTGGCCTCTCAGAGGCCGGGATAGATCCAGCAGGTTTGAGGGTGACCTGGATCGGGGCGTGGTCGGATATCCCTTTCTTGCTGAGAATATCAGGGTATTCAACTACCTTCCCTTCGACGGACATCTGCAGGAGCATCCACCCAGGCATCGAAATAAACTGCCGATCTATGTAGCTGAGCATCCGCGTCGGCTGGTAATGATGGGTAGGTTCTGGCACTTCTAATTCCACCATCCTCCTCAACACCTCCATCCACCCACCGTCCTGCGTACTCCTCCACTCCTGAAGATACCGAAGCGTCTGCTCATCTACTTCCGCCTCAGGTTCCTTGCGTGGCGGCGTGCATGCAAAGTTGAAATCACCTGATATGACGACAAGCAACGCAGACGGGTCCGCCTCTGCGACCTCGAGGTCGTACTTAATTGAATCCAAGGCCTTCTTCTTAGCTATGGATCCTAGCTGGTAGTTGTGAACATTGTAGTGGACGACGGCAAAATCCCCAAAATCAATCGCAACTCTGAGAACTCGACCTGGGACCTGAACTTCTGGAAGAATCAGAGGGGCCTCGGAACCAAGGTGCAGGAATTTCGGCACAAAGGTCGTGACACCTCCGGCATTGGAACTTGAACAGAACGAGCTAAATGCGGTATATCTATGATGCAGATTGTGCTGATAAAGAAGGTCTTGGACTTGTAACTCACTACCGTGGCATTCTTGCACCCCTATGATACTGCCTGGAAGAAAGAGTTGACGGAGGAGATGGGCTTTCCTTTCTTGGAGGGGGAGTTCGTGATGGAAGAGGGCTCGGGCATTCCAGGATGATAGTATCAAAGGCAAGATCATGCCTCTCTCGTCGCGCCAATGGCGCTGGAGCCCGCTAAAGAGACCACTGAGGAGGTGCTGCGACGTGTCCTGATGCATGGAAGCGTTGGAGCACAAGATCTTTGTCCAGCCCCAAGGCGAGCATGTTGGGCACACACCATTCCAGGACGGGCTCCTCGTCTCCTGGTTTGGGCGTGAAACGTACCAGAGGCTTCCAGTTCGCCGACAGCTCGCCTTTCGCCTTGTCGGTGAAGAGGCGCAGGTTGCCATCGACCTCTTGGAAGGCCTTCCGCAACTGCTTGAGGCCGAGTTCCTTCTTGACCATGGCGGGGTTCTTGTCCGTGCTGACGTATATCTCACAATTCGCACCAAGCATGTCTTTGCACGCGTGATGTTCCCACTGTCCATTTCCGAGTCGTAGTGCTCCCATCGCCTGGGCCACCTTCCTTGCGGCGTAGGTGGCGTTCCCCTTGATGCGGAAGACGAACCGCTTCCCTGCAGGCTCCGACTGGTAGTCATAGTCATCTGGTGCAAGCTGGGCACGGGCCAACCAGTCAGCCAGAGCTCCTTGAACTGCACTACGACTGCATACATTCTTCGTCCTGGCGACGATGATGCACGGGTCAACCATCCTGTTGAAGGACGTGTCGGTGACCACGGTCTGCGGCTCTTCGTTCTTGATGCACTGCAATAGTTCCTGTAGCTGGGAGACTCGTCGCTCCAGGGTCGCGACACGGTTGTTGGTGCTCTTCTGCTCGGCCTGCAGCTCCGCGTAGCGCATCTCCACCCTCTTGGTGATGGCGTCGCAGTTGGCCGAGATGGTGGAGCTGAACTGCGTGACACTGGCGTGCAGCTTGGCGACGGCTCCGAGCATCTCTCCACGGGTGGAATCAACCACAGCGCGCAGATTAGCAACAGCTTCAAGAGGATCCTCGGCAAGACGGGCAGTCTTGCTCGGGGGGCTCGTACTGCCACCTGTCGCTCCAGCCTCCTGGGACGGGAACGTGGCCATGGCGTCGAGTTCCTCTGCCAGCCGTCGAGCCTCGGGGCTGCTCGGCATGGCATGGGCCATGCCACACAGTCAGATGCCAAAAAGATCTCACAGCGCCAGGCGGCTCCTGTGAGGATCGTGGGGTGAAGGCTGCGGGACTCGAGCCAGCCCCTCGCCTGCGTTCAAGCTAAAGCCGCCAGGGCACCGCGGTTTTAACTTGAGCCAAAATGGCTACGGACCTCCTCCTCCTCCTCCTCCTCCTCCTCCTCCTCCTCCTCCTGCTCCTTCTCGGCCCCTGGTCGGTCCTTCCCCTCCTCCTCCTCCCTGCCCTCCTTTCCTCCTCCCTCCTCACCCTCTGCCCTCTCCTCCCGCTGCCCCTCCCTCCCCTCCCCCTCTCCACGGGCCGCCCGAAGGAGAGTCCGCCGAGGACGGCGCGCGTGAGCCACGTGCAGCGACACGTGCCCGGTGACCAGGCACTCCGGCCCCTCCTGGCGGGGCGCGGCGCCCCCGGCCGGGCCAGCCAGGTGGATCGGCGAGGGGATCGCATCGGCCTTGCGCCGAGACGGGCCGCGCGGGCCAGACAGCCTGGCGCCGGAGCGGCAGGCTCTCGCTAGAAGGGAGGAGGAGGAGGAGGAGGAGGAGGAGGAGGAGGAGGAGGAGAACTCTCGGCCAAGTCTGCGGGACCCGTCGTTCATCCTGAGACGCTTCGGGAATCCCAGGGGCCGACGGGGGCCCCTGAAGGCCGACAGCAATGAGAAACCTCGGCATGGTGGGGCAGCTGCGTCGGTCAGCACGGCTGCTTGGCGCGTCAACGGGGGGAGGCAACGGACGGGGGCGATCCGGGGCTGCAGGGAGGGCGCGGCCCTCAGCTGCCACCGCACGACCGAGAGGTGCTCGACACGGTGCGCCTTTCTCAACCCCACCACCGTACCTCCCGTTTGTTTTCCCCCCCCCCGCTGCCGTCCTCCTGGCAGTAGGTCGGTCGGGCATGTCCTCCTGCAGGCGGATTTGGAAGATTTCTTGTTTTTTATCTAAAAGGTCTAGCAATACCAAACATCGTCGAAACCTAATCGAAACATCGTCCACCGACCTATCTCGAAGATTCCTCTTGTTGGGGGACATGCCCGACTTAAGCCTGGCAGGGGGGCCAGGGGGGGACTCCGAGCTCGAGCCAGGCGCCTCTCCTGGGAGGATGGCTTCCTGAGTAACCCGGCCTGCCCAAAGTGGGCTCAGCGGCCCCCAAGAGCCTCCACAGCGGGGAAGGAGGCTTCGGAGTCGAGGCGGAACCCCGGCATTGTGACTCTCACATTACATGGGCCACGGAGTTCTGGACCCCCTCTCCGAGGGGGCAACGTCTCTCCTCGCGGGCGGGTAGTTTTTCGATGGCCCGCGGTGTGGAAGGAATGAGTGTGCCTGAGAGCCGAACTGCATGTGCCCCCCCCCCCCGGGGGACAGAGCCCGCACTAGGAGTCGGGATGCCACCCCCGGAGACGCGTGCGCCTCGAGGGCAGCGCACAGGGAGGGTGGAGGTGGAGAGATGCGGGCGCCGCCGCCGGCACGGCCCGCACCATCTTCACACGGGGCCCCAGGGCCCGCTCCTGGCGGCCGGAGCAAGCCGAAGAACCAACCGCCGGGACTCCTCAGATCCATCCGCCAGAGCCCCGAGCCGCACGGTCGGGAGCTTGTGCCTCGCGCGTCGCCGCGGCGGCAGACGCCCTGCCCCCTGCGCCAGCGCACGACACTGCGTGTCGCTCCGCTCCGCGGGGCGGGAGGCTGGGAGAGGCTCGGGACGTGGCGCCTGGGGATCGGGAAGCGGACAGCGCGTCGCACCGACGCGAGGTTGGCCAGAACCGGCGGCGTGGCACGCTGTCCCGACAGTTCCCAGCCTTCTGTGAGGAGCGAGCAGCACGCGCCCATACCCATAGGGGCATCGGAGGGAGGAGGGCTGGCTATGGGCATGGGTGCGGGCTATCGGACCCCAGGGGGAAGCTCCCCTTCGAGCGGGGGCCCCCATCCGACCACACGCACACAGAGCCCCCTCCGTCCCTTCCCCCATGGGTTTGGGTGTGCGGTGTGCGTTGGTCATTCGGTGGTTTGGACTTTCTTTCCCTGGGCCTTCTGCAACGCCCCGCCGCCGGGCACGGGAGCCCTCAGCCAACGCCGGCGCAGCCGGCGCTCCTGGGCGGCGGGGGAGCCAGCAGGAGGCCAGATGGCCGAGGGGCCCACGGGTGTAATGTTAGGCCAAAGGGGGGCAGGGACAAAGGGGGAGCAGGGGGGGAGCAAGAGGAGAGAGGAGGAGGAGGAGGAGGAGGAGGAGGGGGAGGAGGAGGAGGAGGAGGAGGAGGATAAGGAGAAGAAGGAGGAGGAGGAGGAGGAACAAGGAGAAAAAAAGGTCGAAGAGGGAGGAGGAGGTGGAGGAGAATGAGGATGGGGAGGGTGAGGAGGAGGAGGAGGAGGAGGAGGAGGAGGAGGAGGAGGAGGAGGAGGAGGAGGAGGAGGAAGAGGTCCCTGCCCATATGGAGAGAAGGGGTTAAGGGGGGAGGGACCTAAACATCGGGTGGGGGTGCCAACCCGATGGAAGTATCCGCCACCGTGCTCCGAGGCACGATGTGGAGTGTAGGCAGGTGTCGAGTTCTGCCATGCTCTTTTTAAGGAGCCTGGAGCCCCGAGTTCCCGGGCTCCTCGCGTCCCCGCGTGCTGGGGCGTGTCCCCGCAGGGCCCCTCTGGCGGCAGAGGGGCCCAAGAACGGGCCAAGGGGGCCCCAAGAGGTCGCCAAGGCGGTCCAAGAGAGCCCCGAGTCGCCCAAGGATCGCCCCTGGACCCCCGAGATAGCCTCAACACTGCCCACGACGCCCCCAGGATGCCCCCCTGCGAGCCCCACGAGCGTCCCCAAGAGGGCTCCAAGAGGCAAGAATCGCTGACGGCTCTGATTGGCAGCAGATTTTAGCATTCTCTCGTCATTTCGGGCTCCCGACGCGCCAAGGCGGCCCAAGAGGCCTCCAAGATCGCCCCGAGAACACGCAGGATGCTTCCAAGAGGGCACCAACACGGCCCAAGATCGCCTCAAGACGGTCCAAGAAGCCCCCAAGATGGCCCAAGAGAGCCCGAAGACGGGGAACTCGAAGTGACACTTCGAGCCCAATCGATATTTGAGGGCCACTCCTTCCGTCAGCGGAAGAGTACACTGCATAAACTTAACCTGTCGGTGGTCCACGCGGATTCTTGGATCGGCGCCGGAGGGTCCAGGGGGGCCCTTGCGCCGACCCACAGAACCCGCGCAGAACCACGACAAGTGATGCTTGTGCGCTGCTTGCCTTCGTCGGTTCGCGCAGCCGGTTCTCTTCGCCGCACCGGGGAGCAGGCCGGCAGGGCTCGGTGTATACACCACGTCCTCTGGCCGGTCAAGGAGCTCGGCGGATGGACGCCCCGGCTTCTGGAGCTGGGGAGTTTGGGAGCGTCTATGCAGTGGAGGCCTGGCCACAAGGAACCTTCCACAAGAAACCCAACCCCGAGTCCCCAGGGCGTCCACTGAGTTTTGGCGTGAGAGCGTCGCGCTGTCCGTAGCAAAACAAAACCATCGAAGCCCAAGACACCCAGGGCACCCTGGAGGCAAGCAGGGTGTTGCCTGGCATGGGTTTCCACTGCACGCCGAATTCCTTCGCCGAGCCCTTGGCTCCCTGGCCGACCGATCGACGGGATGTACGGTCGGCAACTCCTGCTTAAGTAGCGTGTCGCGCCGGCGGCCCCAGCTGCACGGAGGAGGAGGAGGAGCAGGAGCAGGAGGGGGAGGAGGAGGAGGAGGAGGAGGAGGAGGAGGAGGAGGAGGAGGAGGAGGAGGAGGAGGAGGAGGAGGAGGAGGAGGAGGAGGGGAGGAGGAGGAGGAGGAGGAGGAGGGAGGAGGAGGAGGAGGAGGAGGAGGAGGAGGAGGATCGGAGGCCCGAGGACGTGGTCGGCACGTCGCGCCGACGTGTGGTGGGCCAGCGCGGGCGGCGCGACACGCTGCTGACCGCACGTCTGAGGCTCGGAGCAGGGCGAGGCGAGAGACGACGGCAGCTCACCATCGGCCCCCGGACCCACCACGGGGTCAAAACACATGCTCCAGATTTCGTAATACAGGGAGGGGGGTCTCGTTTCGGGGGGGGTCTTTTCCAAGCTATCTTGGAGGGCCTGGGGGGGTCTGGGGACGATGTTTTGGAGGGTTATCCCACGGGGGAGGTCTGAAATGGCTTGTCTTGGAGGGTCCAGACCCCCTCCCTTTTATTACGAAATCTGGAGCGCAAATTGCGCCCAGCCGTGGCGACGAGGGGCGCCCCCGAAGGCCAGCTAATTACCGCTGTCTCAACTCGCCCTCGTCTCATCGTCGTCGTCGTCGCCGCCGTCGTTGCCGTCTCTGGCGTCCATTCAAGGCGATCGGGGCCCCGGCAGAACGCTCTCGGCGAGGCGCAGCTGCTGGAAGTCATCCCGAGGCTGGAAGTCATCCCGAGGCTCGGAAGCCGCCGAGAGCCGACGAACACCCGAAAACTTCAAACGACCGTTGTCTCAACTCGCACCCCTCTTGAGCAGGGACCGACCGGCCTGGCGTTCCCACAGGCCTGCCACGACACGTTCTGCAACAGCTGCCCCAGAGCATGACGCGGATGCGATCGAGCGAGACGGCCTCAGCCAGAGATGACCCAGGAGCCCCTCGCGCAGACCACAGCAGGTCCTCGGAGCGTTCCCTGGTGAACCCGCGGGCAGGCCAGGACGCCTCGCCACTGTCGAGAATCGAACTCGAGTCGAGCTGGAGTTGAACTGGAGTCGAGCAGACCTGTTAGGCAGACCCCAAGAAGGTCCTCCGAACCAACACCACCAGAACCCCACGCCATGATTTTTGTCAAAGCGTGGACCCCCGAAGGCCTCGACGCATTCCCCAATCGACTGACCCTCCGATCCCGGGCGCGGGGCCTCCGCCCCCCGGGGCCCCGTGGGGGACGACATCCCTTGCGGAGGGGGCCTCCGCCGCCCGGGGGAGGCGCTCCGCGGCCCGCGCCAGCCGCAGCGCCACGGCCAGCGCCGCGCGCTCCGCGTGGCCGGCGGAGGTCTGGTGCAGCGCCAGGGGCAGCAGCTCCGCGCAGTCCGGGCCCCTCCTCGGCGGGGGCTGACGTCACGGGGGAGGGGGGCCCGCCGACCTCGGCGCTGCAACGTGTTTGCGCGCCGGGCGTGTTCGCCCGGCTGCGGGCCCCAGGACCTTTCGCAGATCGAGGCGGCTCAAGCACGTGATGCCGAAAACACCGCGGTCTGGGCATGGGGGGGATGCTGGCATGAGTGGGGGTGCTGTGGATGCAGGCTCGGGGGGGGGCAGCTGCGGGGACGGCCCCCCCTCCTCTGAGGGGCAGCGTTGGCAAAGGCAGCTGCGTTCGCGCTGGGCACTGCGCGAAGCGCGACGCCCTTGGCGCTCTCGCACCAGACCCACGGGGGAGGATGAGGATGGGGACGATGAAGATGAGGAGGAGGAGGAGCAGGAGGAGGAGGAGGAGGGGGAGGAGGGGAAGGAGGAGGAGGAGGAGGAGGAGGAGGAGGAGGAGGACGAGGAGGAGGAGAGCAAGAGGACGATGAGGATGAGGATGAGGATGAGGAGCCGCGAGAGTCGCGAGCCGCGAAGCACTCGGCGCCCCCGTGGCGGCCCTTGGCGAGGGAGGGCCGGCTCCGGGGAGGGCAGCGTCGAGCTGGCATCGGCGAGCTGCATCGCCGATGGATCTCGGCGGCAGGGCCCCGAGATCGCGCAACCGCACGCTCCCGGGCGGGGTGGGCCATCTTGAAGGGGGCCCAAGGACGCACAAATAAGTGCACACAAATCCAAGAGGGTTCCCCACAGTTTCCCATGTCTTCTTGGTTTCTGTCTCCGCCCCCGCTGCCCCTATGTTCCCACATGTTCCTGGGAGTCGACGATTCATTGTGTCTGTGTGCTTCTTTCCCTCCTGATATCTGGAGGCCTCCCAGGTGGGGTCCGAGCAGGCGGGGTCGGAGGATCACGCTGCCTCGGCGATGCATCGCCGATGCATCGCCGATGCGTCGCCGATGCATCGGCGCCATCGGCGGGGAGAAAATCGTGCCCCACATCGAGCTGCATCGGCGATGCGCAGCGATCCTCCGGCCCCGCCTGCTCGGACCGCTGCCCTCATCAGATTAAGGAATCCTCCAGGGTCTGAGGCCTCCTGGACGCATTTCTTAACGAACGCCCCCACCATAAAACGAGACCAGCATGCAGAGTCGGCCGCCACAAGCTTCTGGGCTCGACGCTGGACCTGAAGGGGCCCAGGGGCACACAGATGAATACACACACAACTCCCAAGATTCCCATCTTGTCCTGATTGGCGCCTTCCCCCCGGAATCGACGACTCTTTGTGTCTGTCTAATTGTTCCCCTCCTGAAGACCCCCCTCCACGGCGCGCTCATCGCGCCAGGGGCGGCGCCGGAGGCGCCGCCAGGGGGACGGAACGCCGATTCAAGAGATCTGTGCGGACATCCGAGAATGTTTGTGGATGCCGTTTTTGATCCTTCCATGAGAAAATCAAGAACGCGCCGGTCGGACCAACCCCCCTCGGCGTGCTACTGTTGACATGGTTCCAGGCTCTGTGCACCGGGAGGCTGCGTAGCACGCGCAGCTTGAAAGACGGCGCGCGCGCGTGCCATTGCTGTTTTTCTACCCCTCCCCAGCCTCGACAGAGGGGAAAGGAGCCGGCTACGCGCGAGAATGACCCTGGGCACGAGTGACCTCTGACACGTGGCTTGCCGATCCTTGCGTGCGTTGCGGCAGCAGCGGCCGGCGTGACTGGGTTTGGCACCCCCGCGCCGTCCGAACGACGCGCGCCAAAGATCACTGTGGCGAAGGGCCACTCATTACGTGCAGCCGCGCGATAGGTGAGGATGGACACCAAGGCTGGGGTAACGCTGTGGCTGGTTAGCGGCGTGATTGGGAATCTGGTGTGTGACACTTAGCTTGCGCAAGAATAGCTATAGGAAATCACGAACCACCCTTTCCGACATTGCAGATCTGCGAATGTGTCGAGCGAATGCGACACAGCGGACAGCGCGAACCACGCTATCCTACCATTGCTTCGGCCAGGTGCAGTCCCGTCCACCACACCGAGACCCACCACGCCGTCACGAAGAGCACCGTGAGCCCGTCGTCGGGGATACTTCGGTGCAAACTCATGGTAGCTTTCTCTACCATCTTGTCGGCCCTTGCGAATCGACGCTACTCGACGCCAGATCGACGCTAATCGATGCTTAATCGACACTATATCGACGCTAGATCGGCGCATCTCATGTACTCCCAGACGCTGGTCGACGCTAGTCGACGCCGCAGACAGAATTACGAGGGTACACCGGGCTCCAATGATTTGCCGCCGAGGGATACTAGCTCGGGAGCGGCCAAGAGTGGGGCGTCCAAGAGGGTGGGACACAAATCATGGCCGGCGGCACGTGCGCGGCCCAGAGGGGGTGGGGCCAGGGACGTAATGAAATATGAAGAGGCGCCATGAGATCTGGAGGAATATCATGGCCCACGCTATGATATCCCCCCCCCAGCTCGGGGGCGCGCACACGTGGATTAGCGATCCATGGATTTGGCGCGCGGTCGCCTAATCCATGGATCGGAGGAGGTGCCCTCCCCCAAATGGGGTCGGTGCCGCCTCGCTCGGCGGCGGAGACCCGCGACTCCCCATGGAAACGGGACCCGTCGCTAATCCACGTCCCCTTGATCCATGTTCGCGATCGCCTGACTAGTCATCACCCCCCTCTTGGCCGCCACCGACCAGCGCAGGCCCAGCACCCGGCACACCGCGCAGGTGCTCCGCGGCACCCCGCCCCCGCCCCGGGGGCTGTCCCTTGCGTGCCTGCTGCGAGCAGCCACCCGCCGGAGAGACGAGGGCCCCGTGGCACGGATGCTTGTTCCCTCGAGGATTAGGTCGGGCCTGGCGCCCCGCCTTACAAGGGGGATTTTGGACGAGCAGTCAACAAAAGTCAAAGGATACTCCAAGTTTTTCAAGAATGCTCCAGACATCGTCCCCTGACTATGCTTTGACTATCTTTGAATATTCCTCCTGTAGAGGGACACGCCCGACTCAACTCGAGGAGGATGAGGAAGCGGGACCACAGAGCTTCATTAGAAGAAGAAGAAGAAGAATAAACGCCATGAACATAAACTTTTGGCGCTCCGCGCGGATTTCTCGGATCCGCGCTGGACCCCCCTCCCTGGCGCGCGCAGCGCGCCGGGCGGCTCCGGAGGCGCCGCCAGCGCGGACCCAAGGAACCCGCGCGGAGCGCCAACAGTTGATACTTATAGCGTTGTTTCTTCCTCGATTCATCCGACTCGGCCGCGACCGTTGTCCAGGCAGACCGGGAACACAACACGAGCCGACCTGCGACAGGCAAGCAAGCTCATGCACTTCACCGTCACGCCTCATGACACGCATGGTGAGCCAGTGTAGTTATTTGAAGTGCGGCGCCGATACCGTGCCGCACGTCGACCTCAGAGAGGGGATCGCCCTCTCCGCGCATGCAGCCAAGGGGCGGGCCGTCCATTCGGTCAAATGTCGGGAACTGCAAGCTCCAGCGGTGAGCACTCCGATTTGGCTTTTAAGCGCTGCAACAATTGGAATTTTCAGGCCTCGCGCGTAGGGGGGCCTCGCGCGAGAGCCAGGTTTGGAAGCGATGCGGCGGTCATCCGCGCACATCTGGCAACTCGATCTTCTTGATCGTAGAACTTAGGGCGTCTCAGGCGACAGGTGCATTTGAAAAGGCGGCGCTCCTCCCCATCCCTACAGCGGATGATGATTCCGAGTTTATGATCATACAGCCCGAGGAAGTCTCACTCGAAAGACACACTTTCTCCAAATAGGCTTGCCCTACAGAAGCTGTGACTCAAACCCTACTAATTGGTCCGTTGCCCCCCCTGAGACCTATGCCCCCCCCGAATTCCTATGGCTATGCCGATGCCCGATGCCTACGCCTATGCCTCCCCCCTAACTCCTATGCCTACACCAATTCCTATGCCTATGCCTATGCCTATGCTCGCTTGCGCTTGCTTGCTTCCGCTTGCTTGCTTGCGCCTGCTTGATCTTGCTCCTCCCGTCCTGCTCCCGTCCTCCGGTCGTCCTCCTCCCATCCTCCTCCTGTCCTCCTATCTATTTGGAGTCAACGCTGGCTGATATGAAAGCGTGCCGCCCTCCATCCGTGCACAAGCTGGAGACTTTGAAAAGCGAATGCTCGCGGGGCAGCGGCGAGATCAACATGCTCAGGGCCACTCGCCCTCCATCCGTGCAGCTGCTGGGGACGCCTAGAACGCACGCTCGCGAATCTAAAACGAGCGACACACTTGAGAACGGAGTGCCCCGAATCCGTATGGCTGCTGGAGGCTCAATAGCGAAGGTGCAGAATACTGCGATGGCTGCACTTTGAACAACCGCCGCCAGCCCCCCATGTAGTTGCTGGCAAGTCCCGAAGATGTGGCGTAATCTTCCTGTGCGGGAATATATAAGGAACCGCCCCGGCCGCACCCAATAAACGTCTGCTGGTGCCATGACGAAGAGGGATGCAGGAGGTGGGAGCACGAGAGGAGGGATGAGGAGGAGCAATCGCAGGAGAGGGGTGAAGGGGGGGGGGGGCAGGAGGAGGGCGATGAGACGAGGAGATGGTGGGGGGCTTCCACTTTGACCGTCCTAGCCCCAGTGGCGACGGGGAAGCATATCCTTCTCCAGTCCTTTCCTGCTTGTAAGAGGAGCGGGGCCCTCCTCCTCCTCCTCTTGCTCCTCCCTCCTCCTGATCTTCCCAACCCACTGGCTCAACCTCCTTCGGCACGACCCCCCTCAACACCACAGCGTACCCCTCCGCGCTTCCCAGGGCCGGTGTCTCCTCCCGAGCCGTTTCGTGACGGCCCCGAAGGACGGCGAGGGGAAGACACCCCAACGGTGTGCTTGAACACGTTGGGGGCCTGGGTCCCCTCTAAAAAAGTGTGGTCCACTATTCGCAAAGTAGCTACTCGCAAATGGCCTGAATCCATTGCGTCGAGGCACACAGGCTCCATTGCATCGAACAACGCTCGTTTTTGATGACGCTCGCGAGTAGGCACTTTGCCAGTATTGGAACGAGCTCAGTGACCCTCGTCTCAGCGCGGTGAGGGAGGGTCCGGGGGGAAAGTGCCCCCGAGGGGCTGGAGGGCGTTGCTCGGGCGGGTGGTACCTGGGGGGTGACCTACTGAATGGGGCGTGAAGAAGAGGGCCCTGCAGGGGACGCTTCCTCCCACCCCCCACGTAGGCCACCCCAATGGACCACCCGCCCGAGCATTGGGATCTGGGAGAGGCCTTCCCAGGCTCTGCCGGCGCACCATGGGGGCCTCCCAGAGAGGGGCGGAGCCTCATACCCCCCCGCCCCTGGGGTCGTCGTCGTCGTCCTCCTCCTTCTCCTCCTGCTGCAACACACGAGTCCAGGAAAAGACGCACGAGATGGAGGACAACGACGGAGACGAGAAGAGAAACCCCAACACGACGAGAAAGAGTGTGACACGTGCCACCGCCCTCCCGAGACTCGAGGCACGAGTTGTCACACGTTGCGGGCTCCCGCGCGCCCAGGAACAATCGCAAAAATGGTGGACTGGCACTGTGGCGGAACTTGCCACAGACAGCTGGATTGCTCTGCCATCCTCCAGCTCATCGTCGTCGTCCACATCATCATCATCATCATCATCATCATCATCATCATCATCATCATCATCATCAGCAGCAGCAGCAGCATCATCATGTCATCACCATCACCATAACCATCACCATCACTATCAGCAGCAGCATCACCATCTTCACCATCATCATCCGCATCAGCAGCATTATCCTCGTCAAGATCAGCATCATCATTGGCATCGTCGTCACCGCCACCACCACCTCCACCATCATCATCAGCAGCATCATCAGCAGAATTGCCATCATGATCATCATCATCAGCATCATCATCATTACCACCATCACCATCGTCATCATACTCATCAGCATCCTCATCAAGATTCACCACCATCATCACCATCATCTTACTCATCATCATCATCATCATCATCATCATCATCATCATCATCATCACCATCATCATCGCCATCAGCATCGTCATCATCATCATCCTCATCGTCATCAGTATCCCCACCGTGCTAAGAATCATCATCATCATCAGCATCATCATCATCATCATCATCATCGTCATCATCATCATCAGCATCACCATCACCATCATCATTATCATTACCATCAGCATCAGCATCATAATCAGCATCACCATCACCATCAGCAGCATCAACATCATTATCATCGTCACCATCATCACCACCATCATCATCCGCATCAGCATCATACTCAGCATCATCATTGTCATCCTCCTCATCCTAAGCCTCCGTCTCCTCATCACCGTCAGCAGCAGCAACATTCGCATCAGCATCCACATCAGCATCACCTTCACAAGCATCGTCAGTATCCGTATCATCCTCATCATCGTCATCATCATCATAACCACCACCACCATCATCATCATCGTCACCACCACCATCACCATCATCATCAGTATCACCATCCCCACACCAACATCAGCATCATCAGCATCATCATCACCATCATGATCATCATCAGCCTCATCATTCTCATCATCACCAACATAATCAGCATCGTTATCATCAACAGTATCAGCATCATCATCATCAACAGCAGCATGGACATCATCATCATCATCATCATCATCATCATCATCAGAATCATCATCATCATCACCATCACCTTTACCATCATCACCATCATCATCAGCATCATCATCATCGTCACCATCACCATCATCATCATCATCATCATCATCATCATCATCATCATCATCATCATCGTCACCATCATCGTCGTCACCATCATCACCATCGTCAACATCCCCGTCCGCCACCGCGCCCCGCCCCTGGCAAACTGGGGCGTGGTGGAAGGCCAAGTGCTGCCCGCAGGGTTTCTGCGATCTTCTGCGGGGCACCCTTCCCCGAGGCCACGGGCCTCGGCCCCTCGTACAAAAAAAAGACTGTGGATCCGCGCTCCCGAGGTGACCCAAAGACTACGCTGCCCTGCAGCAGAACAGTGGATTCACGCTGCCGAGGTCACGGCCCAAGGTAAAACAAACAATGGATCCGCGCCCCCCTAGGGCCACGACCCCTCCCAAGGCACAATGGGTCCGCGCCCCCCAGCTTCCACGACGGCCGAGGCAGGCAATCCAGGCCGCCGAGGTGTCCCGAGATGCCTGGACCATGGCCTATAGCCTGAGATGGTCCAAGGCGGCCCAAGATGGCTTCAGGACGGTCCGAGGGGCCCCCAGGACGGCCCAAGAAGACCTCAAGAGGACACTCAGCAGGGCCCGAAAAAGGCCTCCAAGGTGGCCCCAAGACGGCCAAAGAAAGCCCCATAGTGGCCACCAACGTGTCCTCCGAGGCAGCCTTACGTCAGCCCGCGAGGCACCTAGGCGGCCAAGCAGGGCCGCCTCAAGAGAGCCCCGAGCTGGCCCAAGAGGGCCTCCAGAGGGGCCCTAAGACGGCCGTAGGAAGCGCCTCGACGGCCCAAAGACACCCGCAAGAGACCCCAGCCAAGATGGCCTCAAGACTGCTGAAGCGAGCAGTAGATGGCCCGGCAGGGCCCAGAGCTGGCCCAAAATGACCCAAGGGACCGCCAAGACTGCCCCACAGAGGCCCAAGAAAAGACAGAAGAAAGGTTACACATCATTGACGAAGACGAGACGAGAACCCCCGACACAACGAGAAAGAGTGTGACCCATGTTAAGGCTCCCCCAAGCTTCGGGACACAAGGTGTCATAATACGTTCCAGTCTCCTGCTTGCTCACAGACCAGTCGTCACCACAGAGGTTGGAATGACATGGTGGCGGGACTTGCCGCAGGCAGCTGGATATCTTCTCCTCCTCCGCCTCCTCCTCCTTCCCTTCTCTTCCTCCTCCTTCTCATCCCTCCTTTTCCTTCTCGTGCTGATCGTCCTCGCCGTCCTTGTCCCGCTTCTCCTCGCTTTTACCTCCCCCCTTCTAGGGTCGAGGAGCGTCTGCGTGGCGCGTCGCGGCGGCGGCCCCGGCGACGCGCTCTACTTTGAGAGCGGATCGCGCGTCGCTCCGCTCCGCGGGACGGGAGGCCTGGGAAAGGAGCTCGGGACTTTGGCGCTCGGGGTTGCTGGGGAGTGGATGTAGCGTGCCGCGCCGAAGCGCGGATGGCCAGAGCAGGCGGAGCGACACGCTGTCCAAAAGATCCTGACCGTACCTCCGCCTCTCACTCTTGTCATCACAGGGGAAAGAACAAATAACATAAACATGAAAACCTCTCTGAGGTCCGCGCGGACTTCTCAGATCGGCGCTGGACCCCCCTCCCCAACGAGCGCGCCAAGGGCGGCGCCGGAGGCGACGCCGGGGGGGGCCCAGCGCGGATCCAAGGAATCCGCGCGGAGCGCCAACAAAATTATGTTGATGGAGCTTTTGTTATTCTTCTCGACTTCATGTTTATGTTGATGGAATTAAATATTTTTCTTATTCGACTTCATTCTTCTCATCATTATCCTTCTCGTCATCATCCTCCGCCCCCGGTCGTTTCCCTCCCTTGCCGTGCCCTCCTCCCCCGCCCTGGCTTCGAGCGAGTGAGTGCCGGGGAGCAGACCGCCGTCTGCCACGGGGGTCCTCTGATAGCTCGCCCAGTAGCCAGGCTCGTGCAGAGTCTCCTCCAGCTCGCCCAGCCTGGGCACCGCAGCGCAGGGGGGGGGGGGGCAGCCTGCACGCAGGCTCCAGAGCGCCTCTAGCAGACTCGGGGAGGACGAGGGAGAGGAAGAGAAGGAGAGGGGAGGAGAAGAGGGCGAAGGAGAAACACCCATATGGCATTGCTATTCGTTTCCTTGCCCCGTTTTTTTTTTGTTTCTCTCTCTCTATACATATATATGTCCCCCACTCACTCTCTGCACATAATACTATATATCTGTATGTCTCGGAAGCCAGGGGGTGAGATCGCAGTGAAACGGAGAGCCCACCACGGGGAGATCGGTTTCGGTTTCGTGTTCGTGTTCGTGTCGTGCGTGCGGGCGAGGCGAAGCTGCGTGGGCGAACGAGAGGCATGCACCCGCGCTGCTGGGGCGAAGCCGGGCTCAATGGTTCCCCTCCCCCTGCTGGCCGCCGGTGGCTCGGGGGTGTAACGACGGTGTTCCGTGGCGCGGTGTCCATAGGGGCCCCTGGTGTCCCGTGGCGGGGTGTCCCGTGGTGTCCCATGAGGTCGATTGTGAGATCGATCGTGAGATGGACAATGGGATCTATAGCGAGCAGCCCAATCGACAGATGACACCAGCCCTCTGGGCGTAGGTGGTCTAACGAGCTTCGTCTTCTCTCCGCCCGAACCCCTCCTTCCCCTGCTCGGGGGAGGGGTGTTTCCCTCCTCCTCCCCCCTCCCCTGGGTCTGGGAGGGGGGTGCGCGGGTAGTTAGAGCGACCAAGACGGCCCAAGAAGACTCCAAGAGGGCCTCAGGAAGCCCAAGATGGCCTGCAAGATTGCTCAAGATACCTCAAGATGGTTCAAGATAGCCTCCGACACACATCCAAGAGGCCTGTAGATGGCCCCAAGACGGTTTCAAGTGCCCTCCGAGCCCTCCAATGACCCCCCCTAAATCTCTCAAACATCTACGGACATCTATGTTGTTTGCCTTCTCGCCTTCTCGCTCCCTATGGGCTCTTCATGCCTCAAGATGGCCCTAAGACGGCCCAAGAGCCCCACGAAGGGCCCAAGAGGGCCCTAAGAGCGCCCCAAGAGGGCCTCAAGAGATCATTTTTGAGCCTCCATGGGGGGGGGGATTTACCCCCCCACATACCCTTTTTGAGACATGGGGCCCAAAACGACCCCAAGAGGCTCCCCAGGCCCCCCCAAAGAGCCCCAAGAGGGCCCCTAGACCCCCCAAAAGAATCCCAAGGGGGCTCAATAGTGTCCCAAGTGGCTCCGCGAGGACACCAAGAGCGACCCACGACGTCTCCAGCAGACCTCCGAGAAAACACTTCCAAGGCGGCTGTTGAACTGCATGCGTCTGCATTTCCCTGATCAAGGCAACTCGCCTGGCGATTTGTTTCTGGATGGGCTGGTGGGGGACGCGAAGCGTCAATAATTTTGTTGTGAGATCGACAGTGGGGTCGATTGTGTGATCGATATCGATCACGATGTCGATATCGATCGGTAGATCGAGAATGAGGCCGACAGATAGGTTGCAAAACAAGTGGTCCGTGGTGCCCAAGGAGTTTCTGCCGAATCCGATCCGATCCAGATCGCACACCCAAAACTGACCCCCCCCCCATACAATCTTCTTGTCACCCGAAATGTGGTCGTTCAGGTGTGTGTATATACACATATCTATATGCGCATATATATATATAC